TCTCAGTAGCACTTACAGGGAAAACAATCTGCCCATTCAAATGATAGTGATTGCTGTGATAAATCCTCTGAATTCCCCCATTCTGACTTGACAAAGAAGAAGAAGAAGAAAAAGAAGAAGCAGCAGCAGCAGCGGGGGAGGAGGAGATTGGATTTATACCCCGCCCTTCACTACCCAGAGGAGTCTCAGAGCGGCTTACAAACTCCTTTTCCCTTCCCATCCCCACAACAGACACCCTGTGAAGTAGGTGGGAATGAGAGAGTTCTCAGAAACTGCTCTTTTTCAAGGACAGCTGTGCCAGAACTATGGCTTACCCAAGGTCATCCAGTAGCTGCAAGTGGAGGAGTGGGGAATCAAACCCAGTTCTCCCAGATTAGAGTCTGCACACTTAACCACTGCGCCAAACTGACACAGCCCTGGCTATCTGCTTTTTGCCTTGTTGGGTAAATCAACATGTACTGATGGCTGCCTATAAGTTTCCAGCAACTCACTGGGGGCCATTTGAGGCTGGGAAAATGGTGTGCAAAGGTCTCTGCCCTTTCGTCCCATGCACCACAGCCCTGCTCTAAAGGCACATGGGGATTAAGTTCCCAGCAGGCAACTCTCAGAGCACGGCTGCGGTCACACACGCGAAACAATCTACTTTCAATCCGCTCTGAGGGCACCTAGACACCTGAACTGACAAGATCCAGTTGGAAAGTGCACTGAAAGTGGATTATTTTTTGTGTGTGACCGCAGCCTACATCTGATCAAAAGTCTTTGTGGCAAGCAGCCATGTGGCACCTAGACACCCAGGGCTTTTCCATAAGGTCCCCCCCCCCATCCCTGGCCCCATGCCGCTTCAGTGTGTCCCCTGATTTCTGCATGCATTTTTGTGCCTTTTGTTTTTAACTTCTTCTTTTTCTGTCATTGTCCCCCCCGGGGGGCCCCCCGCCCGTTTCTTTTGAGGTGACCGTTTATTCTGATCTTCTTCTGGAAGCCAATTGTGAGTCACCTTCTTCCTTGCTCGTAATGTTTCTGTCGGTTTTCTTCGAACTGCCGGCTGCCACCCCCAGCCCGCTTTACGATGACCGGACCGTTGTCATCATCATTCGTCAAACCACTGCATTTCCTCCCTCTCCTTCCACACACCCTGAAGAAAAGTGGTTTCATTTTTGTTTCTTTTTAACGGCACGGAAATATTGATATACTGATATCCTGCTGTAACAGACAGTATCGACAGACCTATATGAAGACTCCTACACAATATTCTGGGAATACCTCAGTGTATGTCTGGAATGGCCCTGAAAGCTGAAGTTGGGGGGATGTCTTATGAAGCAAAGGCCTGGGGAAGAGTGTTCAATTTGAAAATTAGGACTCTAAAATCAAACCCAGACCTAAAACTCCTCAGACTAGTTAAGCTGGACCACCACACAAGTGATTGGGACAGATTACTGGACCATAAACCAGGGGTGTCAAACTCATTTGTTATGAGGGCTGGATCTGACATTAATGAGACCTTGTTGGGCCGGGCCACGTGTGTCATAAAAGGTAATGCCAGGTAGCGGAGATACAAACTTTATAAAGGACATGTCGCGGCTCAGGTGGGGTGTCACCTGACGCTGCCACCACTCTGGATTTAGAATCCCTTGAGAAGGCCCAGAGTACCTTCCCAAGACCTTCCGACCTCCCTTTTGGCCGAATAATAGGTGTGAGGACCAGGCAGAGTACAACAAGGAAAAGGTTTATTTTACAGGAGGTCAAACAACAAGGTGCAGAATAACAGTAAGTGGGTGAAAAGAAAAGAAATCAAATGCCCTTGCTCGTCTAAATACATACTGTCCCTAGCTCGCTGTTCCAAGTGGCACTAGACTACTCACCCTTCCCTCAGGATTGAGGGTTTCTCCCCGCAGCAGCCTTCCTTCTGGCTCTGCCCTCTGGGAAGAAGAACAGCTTTTCCTGCTGCTCCAGATCTTTTATTCCAAGCCCTCCTCTTTTCCTATTGGTCTATTTTGGCTCCAAAACCTCTCAGGGGCTTCTGGGAGTTGTAGGCCCAGCCTCAGCTACTGCTAGCCAGGCTCCCTGGGCCTAGTAGGCCTCTGGTGGCACATCCCAGATCATGTCAGGACACAAACGTAAAGGCGTGTTTTTAACTTAAAACAAATAAAAACATGCTTAAAACATTAGCACTCTTGCAATATTTTGTTTCTTTAACAGTGTCTGATCGCTGACACCTCTCGCTCTGAATTATTGCATCAAAATGTCTGTGGTGTTGCAATCTTGAGTAGGCTGTTCAGGTGTGTATCTGTAAGCTGCAAACCAGTAGCAGCAGAATTGGAAGAAGAAGCAGAAGGCAGACGGTTCCACTGCGAGCCTGATAGAAGCCCTCCGGGGGCCTGATCTGCCCCCCGGGCCACATGTTTGACACCCCTGCCGTAAACTATTATGTCTTGGTACCTGTGACGTGATAGAAGTCACGAGTAAACAAAAACTGTCACAGCTCAGAAGATGTTCGAGAGACTTTGACTACGAGAGCATGTCGATTAGAGCCTGCAGACTGTGCTCAGCCTCTTCAGTCGGCATTCAGAGTGAGCAGAAGACCTGTTGTGAGCTCAGAATACTCCCCCCCTCTTTTATTTCTGCTATATTTCTTGTTCTGTATTTTAAATTGCTTTGGATCCCCTCTAGGGAGAAAAGTAGTGTACAAATCAATCAATCAATTCTCAGAGGCACTTAAAAATTCTGCAAGAACTCCAGACACAGGGCTTGTCTGCACTCTTTATTTTCATTTGTACTGTGTCGGTTATCTTTCAGCATTTGCTTTGCTCCCCCTAGTGGTCACTTCAGTATTTCATGACTGTATCTCCAGCTTATTTCCCTGCACTCTTAAAGTGGTCAGGAATAAGCTCTCTATATGAGAGCACATACGGCCTGTGCTGAAGGCACTTCACTGGCTGCCAATAGCATACCGGATTCGCTTCAAGGTGCTGGTTTTGACCTTTAAAGCCCTATATGGTTGGGGGCCTGTCTACCTGAGGGACTGCCTTTCCCCATATATCCCCCAGAGAGCACTGAGGTCAGGGTTGCAAAATTGCCTGACTCTCCCTGGGCCCAAAGACGCCAGATTGGCCATCACCAGAGCTAGGGCCTTCTCAGTGGTGGCTCCACAATGGTGGAATGAGCTCCCGGAAGACATCAGGGCCCCGCGGGACCTTGTACAGTTCCGCAGGGCTTGCAAGATGGAGCTCTTCCACCAGGCCTTCGATTAGAAGCCACCATTGATGAATGAGCTATTAAAAACTGGACTATTGTGGCCCCCGTGCTATTGGCATTCAGAACAACTTTGGACACCGGCCCAGCTACATCGGACCACCTTACAGTAATTCACCATCTGTACTCCAACTGCACTTTACGTAATTTATCTGTTATTTGAAATTTTATAATATTATATTTACCTGAGTTTTATTGTATTTTAACCTGTTGTACACCGCCTTGAGCCTGCCTGTGCAGAATATAAATCAAAATTAGAAGAAGAAGAAGAAGAAGAAGAAGAAGAAGAAGAAGAAGAAGAAGCAGCAGCAGCTTGAAGTTCTGCTCTATTCTGCTCTGGTCAGGCCTCACCTGGAGTCCTGTGTCCAGTTTTGGGCACCACATTTTAGGAAGGATGTTGACAATCTCGAGTGTGTCCAGAAGAGGGCAACCAGGATGGTGAGAGGGTTGGAATCCAAGTCTTATGAGGAAAGGCTGAAAGAGTTGGGTCTGTTTAGCCTGGGAAAGAGAAGGCTTAGCGGGAACATGATTGCAGTCTTCAAGTATTTGAAGGGCTGTCTTGTAGATGATGGAGCAGATCTATTCTCTCTTGCTTCAGATTGCAAGACTAGATCTAATAGGTGGAAATTGCAAGGGAGTCAATACCGGCTAAATATCTGGATAAATTTCCTGACTGTAAGAGTGGTTGAGCAGTGGAACGGTCTGCCTTGGGAGGTGGTGGATGCTCCTTCACTGGATGTTTTCAAGCGAATACTGGACCACCATCTTTTAGGTATGTTGTAGGTATGTAGGGCTACCTTTCAGCTCTGCTCCTGCAGATGACCTGCAAGGTTCCTTCCAACTCTAACGTTCTATGATTCTATGATTCTGTAAGCTGGTGATACAGGGATGAAATATCAAAGCGGCCACTAGAGGGACCAAAACATGTACAGAAAAGGGGGGGAAATGCAGTATGGGAACCCAAGCGATGGACATAAGAGTGCAGAAAAGCGCAAAATTCAGATCGCTGCAGGAAGTTCCTCCCAACAAAGATCACGAGGGGAAGAGGAGGTTACACCCAGTCTTGATCACCAGGAACAGACTGGAAATCAACAAGATTTACATAGGGACAGGCATGTATTCACCAGTGGTGCTTTACTTACACAGGACGGTCACTGCAGTGAGCAAAACAGCCAGGAGTAGAGTCAGGATGGCTAGGAGGGTGATGATGGAGGTGCTTCTCTTGGAAGGCGGAGGACGAGTTGGTTCTTTTAACGTTATTCCTTGAAGCAGAGGAGGACAAAGTACATCAGACTCTCCCCCCTTTCCTGGGGCTCCAGAGACCATCACAGCTTAGGATTACCAACCTCCAGGTAGGTCCTGGACATCTCCCCAAGTAAGAACAAGAGAGAAGCCCATGTTGGATCAGGCCACTGGCCCATCCAGTCCAACACTCTGTGTCACACAGTGGCCAAAAATACCAGGGGCCACCAGGAGGTCCAGCAGTGGGGCCAGGACACCAGAAGCCCTCCCACTGTTGCCCCCCCAGCACCAAGAATACAGAGCATCTCTGCCCCAGACCGAGAGTTCCAATCTATACCTTGTGGCTAATAGCCTCTGATGGACTTCTGCTCCATATAAGAACATAAGAGCAGCCAATGTTGGATCAGGCCAATAGCCATCCAGTCCAACACTCTGTGTCACACAGTGGCCAAAAATACCAGGGGCCATCAGGAGGTCCAGCGGTGGGGCCAGGACACTAAAAGCCCTCCCACTGTTGCCCACCCCCAGGCACCAAGAATACAGAGCAGCCCTTGCCCCAGCCTGAGAGGTCCTATCCCCAAGCCCCAAGAATACGGAGCATCCCTTGCCCCAGACTGAGAGTTCCTATCGATACCTTGTGGCTAAGAGCCACTGATGGACCTCTGCTCCATATGCTTATCCGATTCCCTCTTGAAGCCGTCCATGCTTGTAGCCGCCGCCACCTCCTGTGGCAGTGAATTCCACATGTTAATCACTCTTTGAGTGAAGAAGGACTTCCTTTTATATGTTCTAACCCGACTGCTCAGCAGTTTCATGGAGTGCCCACAAGTTCTTGTGTTGTGAGAAAGGGAGAAAAGTACCTCTTTCTCTACATGCTCTTTCCCATGCATAATCTTGTAAACCTTGATCGTGTCACCCCTCAGCCGTTGTTTCTCCAAGCTAAAGAGCCCTGAGCGCTTTAACCTTTCCTCATAGGGAAAGTGTTCCAACCCTTTGATCATCCTAGTTGCCCTTTTCTGCACTTTTCCCAATGCTACAATATCCTTTTTGAGGTGTGGTGACCAGAACTGTACAAAGTACTCCAAATGAGGTCTCACCATTGATTTAGACAGGGGCATTATGATACTGGCTGATTTGTTCTCAATCCCTTCCTAATAATCCCCAGCATAGCGTTGGCCTTTTTTATCGCAGTTGCATACTGTCTCGATATTTTCATTGAGTTATCTACTATGACTCCAAGATCTCTCTCTTGGTCAGTCTCTGCCAATTCGGACCCCATCAATGTGTATTTATAGTTTTTGGCTCCAATGTGCATCACTTTGCACTTGGCCACATTGAACCCCATTTGCCATGTTGATGCCCACTGACCCATCCTCGACAGATCTCTTTGGAGTGCCTCCTCTTTGGTTGTGTGTGTGTGTTTTTTTTTTTTAAACTCAAGTAGCTAAGTAGCTAAGCTGCGGTGGCTCAAGTGGTTAAGACGCTGAACTGCAGGCTGTGGAAGGTCAGTAGTTCAGTGGTTCAAGACCCGGGTGCCGCAAGACAGGGTGAGCTCCTGTCTCTAGTTCCAGCTCCTGCCAACCTAGCAGTTCGAAAGCAAGAAATTGCAAGTAGATAAATAGGGACCACTTCGGTGGGAAGGTAACAGCGTTCCGTGCGCCTAGGTGTTTAGTCATGCCGGCCACATGACCACGGAAACGTCTTCGGACAGCGCTGGCTCTTCGGCTTTGTAACGGAGATGAGCACCGCAACCCTAGAGTCGGATTCGACTGGCTTTCGAGCAAGGGAACCTTTACCTTTACCTTTACCTAGCTAAGTGCGCATAAGTGCATAATCACACCAAGCATTGTCAATCACTGTGGTCAAGTTGTCATTCTGGATCGGGAGTCCCTGGGGGAAGTTGTTTTCGAGTGACAAATCCCGCTCCCATCCCCGCTCCTGTTTCTGCATCAGTGTTGCTATTTGAGAGCACCCCATGACTGACACAAGGGTAAATGCACTGAAGTCAATGGGACTACTCTCATGTGAATCTGCACTTTACACACACCCTATGTATTCCATGGAAGAGAGGTGAAGGGAAGGAGGCTGAAAGGGGCCAGATTATTTGGCAGAGGGGTTGTGGCGCTGTCCAAAAGGAGCCGGGCTTTGGATGCCTCGTCGTAAGCCGCCCTGAGCCTTTGGGGAGGGCGGGATATAAATCCAAAAATAAAAAATAAATAAAAAATAAATACATACTTACGTGCTTGGGTGAAAGACAAAAAACAAAAAGCATGCTGCAACAATCTGAACGATTGACCATTGGGTGAGCATACAGGGTGAGATGTCTGATCAAAACTTCCCACGACTATTTAAATCGCCCCAAATTGCCAGATTGCACCAAGCCTGTGTGACCGCAGCCTCTATGGCATCACACCCCATGGATATCCCTACACTAGGAGCCCGGACTCTGATCTGGGCGAACCGGGTTTGATTTAGCTTGGAGAAACGACGGCTGAGGGGTGACAGGATCGAGGTTTGACAGAGTGCTGGACTGGATGGGCCGTTGCCCTGATCCAACATTGGCTTCTCTTATGTTCCCCACTCCTCCTCCACATGCAGCTGCTGGTGTGACCTTGGGTCAGTTACAAGTTCTCAGAGCTGTTCTCTCAAGGGCAGTCCTCGAGAGAGCTCTCTCAGCCCCGCCTACCTCACGGGGTGCCTGTTGTGGGGAGGGGAAGGGGAAGGAGATTGTAAGCCACTCTGAGACTCCTTTGGGTAGTGAAGGGCGGGGTATAAATCCAATCTCCTCCTCCTTCTCTCCTCCCCAGTCCTTCCCTAGGTAGATGTAATTTGGGGATCCTCAGTTCCCACATGGAGGTTTGCAATACTACAAGCTGCGCAGGAATCCATGGTGAAGGGGGGGGGGCAATGTGAGAGTTCCAGTAAGAAATTCAAGAGAATTGGAAGAAATTGCTGAGTTAGGAAGCATTCTATTTATAATTGCAGCAATCTGATGCAAGCATTCTTTGGGTGGGAAAAATACACTCATTCTATTTCCCCTCTTGCAGTTCCGTTTTTTTCTTATAACATTTTTATTGATTTTCTTACGACACACTACACAACTAAAACTACAAAACTAAAACTACAAGAGAGAGTTCTGTTTTTTTAAACAACATTCTGACTACGCCCAGAGCCCTGAAGTTTCCCTTTCTGGGGTTGCTCGTAAGTGATGGAAGGGTCAATTTTTCCAGCTGAACTGGTCAGTGTTCCCTCTAAGTTGTGGAGTCTTGTGAACAAAAATTCTACTCTGTGAGCTACTGGCATTAAAGCTGTGAGCGAGCGATTTGGCTACTGCATCAATTAGTTTGCTCTGGAGCCCTTTCCTGAGCTAAGACAGAAATGTGTGAGCCAGAGGCTAAAGAACTGTGAGCTAGCTCACACTAACTCAGTTTAGAGGGATCACTGCCGGACTCACCTAAAAAAACCGTCTTGTGAAGACCCAAATCAGCACAGAGGCAAGAGGACACCCTCTTGCAGACGAGATTCTTTAACTGGGGGTTTAGCGTTCACTGTTCACTAAACCCGCTAAACCCCAGTTAAAGGATTTCATCGGCAAGTGACGTTCTTTATGAATTGATGGATGTTTAGGCAAGTGATTTCTGAGAAAGAGGAAGTTGAAGCAGATGGAGACATCCAAGACTATCTGTTGGATCGAAATTAGGCCGGAAGCAAATGCTTCCTTTCAGCATTCTAAAGAACGCTTCGTAACTCTTTTGTGAAAGAAGGTTGTTATTAAAAAGCGCATTGGGAAGAGTGAACTGTGACAAAATTGTACCAAAATACCCCATTGATGTTATATACTGGCTCCGGTCACACGGCAAAGTTGCCGCGGGAGAGGCACGGATGGTGGGCGGATTATCCGGGTGTGATCACACCCCAACATCTGGGAAGTGGAGCGCACCCGTGGCTTACCGCTGACAATGCGCTTTAAAAAACTAGTACCTCCAAGGTACTAGTAAACGTTTGCCACGGGCTGCCTCCAGACGCCCGTGGTGTGATCGCGCCGGCGCACGGCATTCCCCTCCGGTCCCTCGTTTACCCGCCGGCGCCGAGGGAAGGACCAGTGGTGTGCTGCCGGTGCGTCTGATCGTGTAATCGTGGATCAAATTGCACCGGGGCAATTAGCCACGCCTCCCCCCGGCGATATCCAGCCCGTGTGACCAGGGCCATTGTTTAGCATTTTGTTGAAATTTAAGGGAATTTATGTCAGTAGGCTAGTTGTTTAAATATGTATGGATTCATATCGTCAAAATGTTTTTTAAAAATTATAATGCATAAGCAAGCTGCTACAATGTATGAGAAGTAATGTTAGTTTACAGAATATATTAACTGCCTTTTTAACACGGTGTTTCGTAGTCTAATTTGGGCGTTCTCCGTTTTTATTTATATCAGCAGAGCAGCTGCTGTCTGAGGAACTAAGTTGCCAACCTCCAGATGTGGCCTGCAGATTTTCTGGAATTACAACTGATCTCCAGGCAACAGAGATAAGTTTGCTCTGGATAAACCAGCAGTTTTGGAGGGTGGACTCTATGACACAACATACCTGCTTAGCTCCCTCCTCTCCCCAAACTCTGCCCTTCCCAGGTAAAGGTTTCCCTTACTCGAAAGCCAGTCGAATCGGACTCTAGGGGGCGGTGCTCATCTCCGTTTGAAAGCCAAAGAGCCAGCACTGTCCGAAGACGTTTCCGTGGTCATGTGGCCGGCATGACTAAACACCGAGGCGCACGGAACGCTGTTACCTTCCCACTGAAGCAGTACCTATTTATCAACTTGCAATTTCTTGCTTTCGAACTGCTAGGTTGGCAGGAGCTGGGGCCAGAGACGGGAGCTCACTCCGTCACGCGGCACACTCGGGTCTCGAACTGCTGAACTACCGACCTTCCGGTCTGCAGCTCCCCCAAATCTCCCTAAGACCTTCACATTTTCCTCTAAAACCAAAGCATTTACCTACCAGGAGCATACAGCGTGTTTAGTTGGCAAG